TAATTAATAATATAATTTGTTATACAGCAACGGCATCTATTGACAACTAAATTTTAGTGGCCAAATACACCTATACCATCGCTTATCTGTATATTATAAAATCAATGTTATTAATAATTATTATCAAAACAACAAGTCGATCGCGGCACGAACGCGATTTGACTGCTCGAAGACCAGTCAGTTCGCGTTCGCGCCGCGATCGCGCAGGGGAAACCAACGCTATTTATTTTACATTGGATCAGCAGCCGCGCGATCTTGGATCGCGGTTAGCGATCGCACAAGGGAAACCGTACCTTTATTTATTCTAAATGAAGACGGTTTTATGTGTACATCAACATCTGTATCCGACTCAGAATCAATTTCATTGTGGGTAATTGTACATACAAAATCCGGATCAGCGTCAGTGTCATCAGAATCATATAATAAATTATCTTCTTCAGTTTCATCTAACCAATTACACACATTTTGTATATTATCAGACATTATAACGCGAAATTATAAAAAAAACTAAACGAGAAAAATGCATACACCAACAGTCGCGTATGAGCGCGCTCACTTTATCAGAACTGACAAGTTTAATCTATTGTCATTTCAACACAAGACTACGGACCGGATTATTTTATTTATAGAAAAGTGCCTAGATAAGATAGCATAAGGTATACGTAGTTTACAACAATTTAAACATTAAATTGAAACCAGTGGTAGCTAAACTAATAATGGAATAAGCGCCGCGCTCATACGCGACTTCTGACGGGTTAATTCTGATATAGGATACTCACTCCTGTCGTAAAATTCATGAACTGTCCGCTTGTATGATTTACGTGGAGATGAAAAAGAAGAGCCCGTCTCAGGTAATTGATCATTTTTCTTCACTTCGGAGCAAATACGTTGAATGGAGCGTTTCGATTCTCCGCAAGCTTCGGCAGTAATGTATTGCGTTTTTATAAAAAATTTGGCGTCGATTTCTTCTGATTCCGATAGTTTTTTAAAAATATTTTTTGTGTAAAAAGCGGATTCGTTAAGTGCACGGAATATAGATAATGGCAAGCCAGACGACAGATGACAGGTGGTTGATATTGGTAGGTCCGAGTCACTAATGGATAATGAATGCGCGAATAGTAATATTGACAAGGCCACTAAGGTAATCTGACATTTGGAAAACAACTTTCGCACAGCGTTACACGGTTGATCTCCACGGGACCTAAGTATATAAGGGGGTTGGGAATAGACCAATATTCAGATGTGGTTTACAGGTAAAGACGCAAGCACCTTCACGCCACATTATTTCTTATATTAATGTTTTTTTTATGCTAAATAAACAGTTAAAATTTCAATTGAGTATTTTATTGAAGTCTATCCTTTAAAAACTTAACTATCATATACGATTGAGCGACGGCACGCAACAATTTTAGAATCTTGTAAAATTTTGCTAACTATGTTTACATAGTTTAACAAGTCATACCAAATGATTAAAGTAACCAAAAATTCAAATAACATAAATTGAAGACCTCCCGTGGAGATCGGTGTATGTTACAAAAATGAAATTTTTCAGAAGCGACAAATAACTGTATATAGACCATTGAAGTCGGTGTATGTGCATGTTTAGTACATGGTTTTTTTTAATGACGCTAGTTTTATTTTACCTGAAAAAATTACGTTCCTGCAATAAAAATTGAAGGCAGTATAAGAAAAGAATTTATTTATTTATTTTTAAATAATAGCTCTTATAATTAATATTGTTAATATTGTTAATATAATAATTAGTATAATAATATTTTTATTTTTGGCTACACAGTTGTGTGTTAAATTCGCGGTACTTCGGTTCCAAATAGTCCAACATCTTTAGTAGGTCGTTGGCCTTTTTTCGTCTATGACGCGGCCCGTCTTCACTTTTGGTAAATCTTCGGGAATATTCATTAAGTTGACTCCACGTTTGGCAACCTTAATTTCTTGCCAGTTCTCTATATCACCGTAAGTGAATTTAGTTAAAACACAGCCTTTAAGAAGCGACTGCATTGTGACCTTAATCCCTGTGACGTTACTTATACCCATTTTTGTGGTATTCAGAAATTGATTTGCCATTACGTTGAAATCAATAATATCTCCATTTTCAATGTCGACAACTTCGAATGGATTGTTTAGTTTCGAACTTTGGATCATCTCTTTTATTTCTGCAGGGACCATGGCAGCTACCCTCTTTTTCCTTTTCTCAATCATGGCGAAGTCTTGATCACAAGGCATAAAGCTATGTCCAGAGACCAAGAATCTACATTCAATACTTTTAAACCAGCTAGACGCTACGAGATAGAACATAGCAAAAACCAACATTTTGTTTTTATTTTGTCCAGCGCAGTTGTCGCACCACATTTCAATCTTTTTTTTTGATGTTATCCGAGATGTGACCACTTTTACAAAACTCGAAATGATTTCATTGGCTCCACGACTAGCGATACCTTCATGCCAGACACAATTATAACTTTTTCTTGTGTCACCGACGTGTAAACACAGATTGTACACTGAAAGTTGTCGGCTATAGTACATCTGGCTGTGCGTCAATGTAGGTACAAAAAGAACTTTTTCCAAATCCATACAAAGCACTAACGTATCGCTATTCGGCTCTTGAGCGTCCTTCATATTTTTGTACATCATGGTTTTCGCTTTATCCGTTTTTCGCAGATGTAATTCTTTTTGTTTAGTAGCATTTAAACCAGCAATCGTTTTATCTTTTCCTTGCATGTGCAACCGGTCACACGTCATACAAGTATCTGTTCACGGTCGCCGGAAAGATAAGGTTGGAAAATACTTTAGAAATGTACGGCGATAAAATTGAATAGAAACATTTGAATCAGGGTTCTGAATTTTGAATGCGCTATGCAATCTCGAAGTATTAAGATCTGGGCTGAGAAATTCTTATTAATTCTTATTTTTATTACGAATATAATGTGATTCTTCTCTTGGGAATTGCATCACGTGTAATATAATAGAGTTTCGCGTTTCTTCATGGTACTTTAGTTTATGTACATGCGAATTTGGATTCCTTCCGATGTTACTTATAAAAGATATCTCACCCTTTTTTGTGTGCTCAATTAAATTCTGTAACCGACTATTCGATAATGAAAATAAACGCATAAATGACTGTTTACAAACCTGTAGCAAATTCTCTTCGCCCGGCACTGTATATTTGATTGAACATTGTCTACGACTGCTATCAGGAATTTCTTGTTTTTCCTTTCTACGCCTCTGAATACTGATCAAGGAAATTCTGCTCAAAAAATAATCTGCTTGTTGTTTATAACGCAAAGACGCAAACTGTTTACGAGTCATAACGATACGATTCACAGTCAATTTTTGACATTCGTACGAGCATTTACAAACAACTAGTGACTCAGGTGTGCATTCTGTTACCGTTTTTGCTTTCTTCATATTTGAATAACCTATTATTGAAAATTTGTAACAAAAAACGAAAAACGAACAACGAAAAACGTGTACATGTGAGTTGTAACATTCAAGTTTTAACGTATGGACAAATATTATATACTGATTATGTTATCAGATGTAACATACACCGATTTCAACAAACGTCAACAACTTCAGATATATAAAATCTTTCTTGAAATCAATTTTTTGAATTCTTAACGTACGTTTATTCATACATTATGTACTACAATCTGTTGGCAACACTGAGTTTTATCAATTAATGTAATAAAACGGTTTTTGAAAAATTGTAACATACACCGATACTAAATCGTTTCTCATAGAATTTTCAAGTTCTTTTAAAATTATATCAAGCCGTTCAGGTTGATTTTTAAATACATTATAACATTATATTATAATGAATTTTTTGTTTTTTCTTTAATGTAGACGTTCATTATTGTTATTTCACCTTCTGGTGTAATTATAAGCGGTTTTCCTTGTAGTTTATAGATTTTTGTTTTATATCATTTATTTCATTGTAATTTGTAAAAGCGCCCGATATTAATATATTATCTTTTCTCCGTTACTTAAAAAATTCAAAGTCCACTATAACAATTTTTAATTTTTTAATTATTATTAATATTTTTTTTTAAAGCTATTAACCTGTCATATTTTAATCTAAATAAAAATCAAAAAATATCTAGGTTGAAACATTTTTTTCATTTTTATATAAATTTACTTAAAAATAGTGTCAAGCAAAAATAACATAATATATCATATAAATATAAACTGAAAATAAATTTCAAAATAACTTACAAATTTTATTTTTGTCTCTATCGTCCTTCTCGTCAAATCCGTCACAAAACACTCGGCAAATATTTATCCATGCACCTCGTTTTTTCTTCTTGTCATGGTAAGTTTTGACAGCGACATTCCATATCTCAGGATAGTTTTTTACCTCACCAATGAATAATTCAATGTCCACATCCTCTTGATTTACTGCCATTTGCACGATTTACGTATTAAAAAAAACATGTATAAAATAAACGTGTTTGCGTCAAAATGACGATAGTGTGCACTGACCAATATGATACAATGAACTAAACGACCGCAAGTGAAGGCGGCGGTGACGCTGCGCTGCGATAACAACTTGCGACAAAAACTTTGTCGCAGACGGACGCGCGTCACCGCAGCAATGCCGCTGTGATGTGTGCATTCCGCAATTAAATTTTGGGTTTTCCATGCCACGTTTGCGGTGCCGCAGCGTTGCTGCGCGTTAAAATAACGCAAGTGTGCACCGGGCCTAAAACACACACAATAGAAAAGAAGTCAGATTACAGTTAGCTATGTAGATACTGTCGCGGTCGGTCACGGGAAAACCCGAAATACACCATGCAATTATACAAATTTATTAAAAAGTTAATTAAAATATTTAAAATATTAAAAAAATTGAAATAAAAACTATCCTATATTTTAAGTTGGACCAAATTACACACGGTGTAAACAATTTCATCAAAATCGGTCCAGTAGTTTCGGAGATTATCGCGAACATACATCGTGACACGAAATTTTTATATATACAGATATACAACAGAAAAAATAAATTACCACAAACTTTTAAGCATATTTTTATTTGTATTGTTTGTATTGCATAATTATCACCTTGCCCATATGCCGCCCTGTGCGAATGCACTGCCCGCACATGCCTTCCGCTGGCCCTGATTCTAGGATATAGTTCAATACTCCTACTATCTATTTGTGCTTAAATATTACATATTGATACCAAATAAAATGTGTTAGGAGTTAATTCTCTTAATACCCCAATTTCTTATTACCCCGCTCTCCCCTACATATTTTTAACTTTTCTTGAAAATCTATTAAAATAATTAGCTTAAGGCTAGATGCACACTTGCGTTAATTAACGTGCGGCGCCGCTGCGACACCGCTGCGTGGCCGCAGAAACTCATGCACATGTCCGTTGTTTTAACGTGCGGTACCGTTGCGAGGCTGTATACAAACGTGGTGACCAAGGTACGTAACAATGCCATCAGTCGTATTTATTTTTTTGTTGGCGATGGATGTCTATCAAAAAAAAAACGTGCGATTTTCGCGTACATTGTATACAAAAAATTTGTTTTAAAAAAAAAGAGACGTTACTGGGTACATCCTTACATCGATGATAGACTAGCTAGAGGTGGCTTTATTACTTTGTTTTCAAGTTTACGAGAAAATCCAGATAAGTTTATTAACTACTTTCGTATGAGTGTTCAATCGTTTGATGAACTTGCAGACAAAATAACTGACATGATTAAGTCTCAAGATACATGTATGAGACTCTGCATACCTCCATTGGAAATGATAGCTGTGACTTTAAGGTAAGTGCATTTTATGCAGCATATCATTTTACTGTTTTGAAAATGAATTACCTAAACAATTGAATAATAATTCTATGATTGTAATAAATATTCAATTTTAACTCAAAAAGATTATTATTTATTAAAATTTAACAGGTGCAAATAATAATACAACATTTTAATTATGTAAGTTATTTTATGTTATTATTTATAAAGTTTCATTACTGAATAAATCCATACTATTTTCGTCACTGTATGTGGACGGGGTGGGTGGAGAAATGATTGAAGGTGGAACAAATTGTCTTGAATATGTAATATTTTCAGAAGGGCGAACTTGTGGCAACCGTGTATATGAAGGATGTTGAACATTTTGGAGTGGTGCATATTGTTTGGATATAGCCGATGTTTCAGTAAAAGGTACAGATGTATGATATTGAGGTATACTCTGTGGAGGTTTTCTCATACGTTTAATAATATTGAGTACTTCGCAGCGAAAGTCTAGTTTCTGGTCTTCGGTAAAATCAGATATAGATAGTAGAATACTTTCGAAAAATGAACGGTCTGGATTAAGTTCTTGAATGACTGGAGCAGTTGGAGTAGGAATTGGAGTGTTCGTAAAATCAATTAAGGAGGTCTCTATATCCGATTTGCGTTTTTTCGTAGGACGCTGGTTGTAGGGAGGAGGTTGTTCCGGTTCCTCTGGCTGGGTTAGCTCTTCCTCTATTTCGTCGTTACCAAAGCTGGATTGTGTTTCCGTAGTAGCACCTGCAGTTTGTAAGAACGATAATTGTCGGGCATAAATGTATTTTCTTCCTGATCCAGCTGCCTGTCCAGATTTTGTTTTGTTTAAACTTTTTTTAAAGTTGTCCTTGACATTTCGCCATTTTTTTATACAAGAGGTACCTGAAAATACAGTAATTGTTTTATACTATTTTTACAATGATTTTACAATGATGTGTGTTTTTTTTTTGTGTCTGTGTACAGCATAACTAGTCGAAATAATGCTTCAATTTCAAACTTCGGGGGTGGTTTCCGATAACAAAGTGAATATTCTTGGTGCATTATAGAGATCAAAATTAAACATTTTCCAACAGTTTTCAAAAAAATCGAGAAAAACAAAAAAAAAAGTGACGGAAAAACGCGAATTTTTACGCAAAACCAGTTTTCGACCAAATCGATTTTCTTATATGGTTGTAACTCAAAAACTAATCACTGTAAATACTTGAAATTTTCACCAAATGTTTATATTAGTGTTATATATATATATACTGTTAACTTTTCAAAATATTTCGATTTTTTTTGAGCTATTTATAGACCACTGAAATTTTCGATTTTTCTGAGAACTTTTTTTTGAAATGTCGATAAAAAAATTTTGGATAGCCAAAAAAACTTGAACATTTAATACAAGGTTCCTTATGAGCGGTTCTTATTTTACTTAAAAAAAATTGAAAATCGTTAGTCACAATTTTCAACTTCATTATCTTGTTCGATACGAAATTTAATCTAGTTGGTGCATTGGTGAGGTTTTGGTAAAAATTTAACTTAACTGTATCACCCTAAATACAACTTTTCCAAATTTCCGCCCTAAATAGTTGGTCCATGGTGTGAAGTTCTCAATTTTTTTATAAATGTATGTTTTTTCTTTGGTTACAGGTATTTAGGCAGTGGATGTGATCAGGTAGACTTACACTTATCGTACAAAATTGGACACACGACTATCGGTAAGATTTTAAGAAAAGTATGCAATGCAATTTGGGAATGTTTACGCGCGGAGACCTTTCCTGATTTTACACAAGAACGCTGGAAAGATATTGCTCGAGGTTTTCAAAAATATACCCATTTTCCGAATTGCTTAGGCGCAATAGATGGAAAGCACGTACGAATTAGAAAACCAAAAAACAGTGGGTCACTATTCTACAATTACAAAAATTTCTTTTCAATTGTGTTGCTAGCAATTGTAGACGCGAATTACAAATTCATTTATATTGATGTAGGAGCTTTTGGAAAAGAATCTGACAGTACAATATTTGAAAATAGTCCTTTTAATATGAAGCTCCAAAATAATCAACTGAATATCCCAGCAAGTCAACCTCTCCCTGGAACTGAAAATCCAAAAATGCCCTTCACGTTTATCGGAGATGAGGCATTTTCTCTTTCACCCAAAATAATGCGACCTTATAGCGGTAAAGTTTTGTCCGATAAAAAAAGGATTTTCAACTACAGACTGTCACATGCTCGAAGATATGTTGAAAGTGCATTTGGCATATTATCAAATAAATGGAAAATATTCCATAAACCAATCAACGCAAATTTAGATTTATGCATACTTTTAGTAAAAACTTGTTGTGTTCTGCACAATTTCGTAAGGTCCAGAGATGGATTTAACATTCAAGAAACAATGAGTGTAGAAGGATTCATTGAAATCGAACGAGACACATCAGAACCTACTCCGAGAGCTACTAACCAGTCAATCAATGCAAGAAACAATTTGGCAGATTATTTTGTTTCAGATATCGGCAGTGTGCCTTGGCAAACAAATTATATGTAAACTAGATACTTACGTATTGTCTTTATATTTTCTATTGTACAATTAAATAATGTATTCAAATAATGTTATTAAAAATATTATATAGATTATAAAAATAATACTATATTATTAATAATATTCTTAAAAATTAAATAAAACAAATATTATAAAATAAAGAACGAATTACATAAAAGTACTTACATATATCATTTTTATCCCGTTCATCCTTTTCGTCGAATTCTTCACAAAATACTCTACAAATTTCAATCCACGCTACTCTTTTTTTAGTTCGATCGTGGTAATTATTGTCAGCTATGTTCCATATTTCGGGATGAAGTTTAACTTCACTGATGAACAGCTCCATATCTACCTCATCAATATTAAATTGAATGGTTTTTGTTGCCATTTCTGTGATTTTTTTTCACAATTTTTCACAATTTTATGACGCGTTTTCAATTTTATGGCGCGTGAAAAAACGCACGTGGGTATCACACGATTGATGACAAAGTACTGTTTGCTGGAGTTGCGGTTGATAACGCGTGTCCGGTGAACTTGCGGCGTGACGGGAACGTACGGTAAAAACTGCACGCATGGGGACGTACGTCGCCGCAACGTCGTGTGCACCGTTTCATGCTATTATTAGTATTTCTAAACGCACGTGCGGCGCCGCAGCGGCACCGCACGTTAAAAATACGCAAGTGTGCATCTAGCCTAAAACGTTAACTTTAAAACATTTTAAACAACTAAAATAATATTAAGTTACTACTTCAATAGTTGAATTTATGATACTGAATTTATGTGTATGTTTTTATGTTCAATACATGACTAACAGTTGAATGCTTTTTATTTAAGTCTAATATAGTAAATTGTAAGTCATAAACTGTCGTTTGGAGGACGTGCTCGATGTCGTGGCGGAACTTCGCGGGAACGGGTGACTCGCGTGTCACGTTCGAGAAGTCGGTTAAGATATCGTCGAGGCCTCGTGAGCGATTGACGACGAACAGCGGGGTGTTCGTGCCCGAGGAGATTGATTTGATGACGGTGCCACGGTTGGTCGGATCAACGAGACGGCGGCGTCGGATGTCGACGAGGAGACCAAAGTAGTGGAGGAAGTCTGCTCCGATGATGGCGCGAGAAACGTCGGTGATCTCGACCGTCCAGTTGAATGTTCGTAAGAGGCCGAGGTCGATGTTGAGCGACTTCAGTCCATACGTTTTGATTCGTGTGCCGTTGGCGGCTGTTACATTGACACTGGAGTGTTGCCACGAGGCGTTGGTTAGGCGGGATGACAGAAATTTCGGCTCCAGTGTCAATTAAGCTACGTTTACACGATGATAGTTTAACGCGATAGTTAATATCGCGAGAGTGTGCGATATTTGATTATCACGATAGTTAGTGTTTACACGCTATCGAGCGTTTTTACTACTATCACACTGTCACAGCAATATAAACTATATAGCAAGTAGTGCTGGTAGCGACTTGCGATTCTAGAGTGTAAAATATGTCGACAACTGAAGTGACTTATGCGATTGTTAATGTCATTAGTGAGATTATTAAGCTTAGACAAACTAAGAAAAAAAGGCAAAAACGCATTTGGATAAAACCATGAATTCAACGACGAAATGCATTAGATGCATCGAGCACATTAACGAGAGAGTTAGCATCTGAAGACCCCGACAGCTATTGCAATTTTTTTAGAATTAATGAAGATATGTTTAATATTTTACTCAAAAAGGTAGTATTAAAATATTTAATTTAACTATAACCTATATTAATTTTACTTTGTTATAGGTTGAAAATAAAATTATGAAATGTGATACTATTATGAGAAATGCCCTATCACCTGAATTAAAATTGAAAATTACTATGCGTTATTTGGCTACAGGAGATTCCTACAAATCACTTCAATATCTGTACAGAGTCTCAGCATCATCCATTTGTAGTTTTTTACCTGCTGTATTTGATGCTATTTATGAAGGATTAATAGAATATATCCAGGTAACGATTTTGACAAAAAATAATCATGCCTTATATAATATAATGTATTATTATTTATTAATCTGTATGGGTTATATACTGTTTATCTAGAATACTTATTAAAAACTTTCATTCATGAATTAAAAAAATAATACATATTCTATAGAAATTATTATTAAATTTCAAAATTATTATAAAATAATGCTAAATTTGAGTTTTGGTTTGTTTGATGTACTGGTTCTGGTGCTTCTAAAGTTGTAAAACAATCAGAGTATGATGCATCAATTTCATCTTTTGTAGAATCATTACTTGAATATGAGATATCTGAATAGCTATTATCAGATGGGGTAGGTATGAATTGTACCTCAGTTGTATTTTTAGCTGTCATTACAATTGGGTTTGTGGACCCATTTGTCTCATTCATTGAACTAATGCGAGCTCTTGTCAAAATATTCTGGATATCTGATTGTGCCATGAGAGCCTCTTTTAAAGGAAGTTGTTCCGGTTGAGTTGCTATATGTTTCGCAAAAACTGTAAATTCATTTTCCATTGTTTGTTTTTTACAAACATATTTCAGGGTTTCTACAGCATTGTCCAACGTGTTATAAATTTTAGTTCTTTTAAAAATATTTTTTTTTGACTTCCTTGGTGTACATGCGGGTGCTTTAAAGTTATCATCATCATCATTAGCTTTTAACCCAGCATCTTTATCAAACTGTTCTTCTACTTGTAGTATTTGAGAATCATCATTATCCACAGATGTTAAATCAACACTTTTATCATTTAATACCTATAAAAATATTTTATTTTTTTATTTATTTTTTATTTTTAAATGCGATCTACGATCTATACCACGTGGCACAATAAGTAGATGTGAATGAGATTAGTATATATACAGATAGTTAAAAAAAAATACATCGTATCCTTAATAAAATTTGTACATAACACGTGAAAAATTTTAAGAAAAGCAGCCACCCATTAGTAACACTTTAATTTGCCTTAAATTTTTTTATAATTTTTTTTTTTTTTTTTTTTTATATATTTTCAGTTTTTTCAATTAATATTTATATTAATATTAGGCAACAATAGATCACGACACCATTTCCGTTTTAACCGTCTCGGCGGGTTATCAGGGATAGTAGGATTGGCAAGATTTCTGACAAGAGGATTGGGATGGGTTAAAGCAGAGGTTCTCAAAGTCAAATGAATCACGGACCACTACCAAAAGACCTACAGTCTTCAAGGACCCCCGGTTAGGTTGGGTTGGGTTCCAGGTGTAATTTTTTTTTT